AGAAACCTTAATTTCTCAAACCTTAGCATGTACCCTGAAATTAACGAATTCCAAATAATCAAGTTCGTAAACTCATCCTATCAAATATCCCTCTTGACTTGTCAACGTCAACCTTCTTAAAATACCCAGATATCATCACTGACCAAACATAAAAATTCCTTTCTGTCATTTTCTCAAACATTTCACATGCAGATAATCAAAGTTATATCTGATACATATCTAGTATTTCACAAAATTGGTAAAATAATCCACATAATGTAATATTATCTTTGATCTATTTAAATTATGAATTTTAAGGAACGACGCCCACAAATCCGCAGCACAAAGAAGGATGAAAATTATGCTGCAGCGAATGCGAAATTGACCTCCGTTTCAGTAGCAGATGAATAGTGCTTGTTACCCATCCCCATGAGTGTGCTTTAGCGGCATAATCCAAATAAATTGATGGTTGAATGTATATGACTTATAGTCGTTGAAGAAATTGGAGATCTGAATTCTAAACCTGAAGCGTGCATCCATATGCAAACTGCATATTCAAACTCTCTGTTGTTTCAGGATACTTTACGAAACATATTTGGAATATGTGGTTAATAGTTGGAGAAGAGAAGATGGAGAGAGAGGAGAATGTGGAGGACGAGACGACAAAGATGGAGATTTGAGCCCTATGAGGTTTCAAGGAGAGTAAATCGCCTCTGCTGAGGAGTGGGGAGGGTTTCTATGTGGCTTAGGTTTGGGGTTTTGTTATAGTTTAGGACGTATTTATTACTTGTTTGAAAGATTTAATTAGATTAGAAGGGTATTAATCAAACTAGTTATTTTTACAAGGTATTAGGCCTAATTTTCCCAAATAAATAAAGAGAAAAATTCATGTTTACGACTACCCTGAAAGAAATAAAAAATTCTAAAAATACTGGTACAGAATCTTTAATCCCTAAAATAAAAAATTCTAAAACTACTGGTACATTCTCTATAACATTGGAAGATTACAAGTTGTAAAATATCACAATTATCATTTCTTTAGAGAAACGTAAGGGGGGTGTATTCAATTGAAACTTTTAATGACTTTTTGGAATTTAGAAAGTTTAGGGATATTCAATGTAGACTTTTGAAAACTCTCTAAAAGTATTGATGTATTTAATTAAGACTTTTGATCTTTGTGCATAATTCTCCTTATTGAAGGAGAGATAATTTCGTATTATAGATAAAACTTTTGCACGTATATAGAAGGAAATAAATCATGTTATACGCATCAATTCATTGGAGTTTGTCTACTGATTTCCTTGATTTGTACAATCTTGTTAATGATTTCATTCTCTGCTGGACTTTCCTTGCATGGTAGAGATTGCATAATTTCAGTCTCTGTTGGACTTTCCTTGCATAGAGGAGGAGATTGCATAATTTCAATATTCCTAACATCTACAACGATACTAGGACTTAAAACCTAAAAGTAACATTGAAAAACTCAGACTAGAATACTGTCCTCTTAATCATCCATCATATGTGAAATAATCATAATTTTGTACAAATATTTGAGACAAAGCCAGCATAGAATACTGTACTTTGAATCTTGACATGTTTTCATTTTATTTGCACAAAACCACCTGATTTGGAGTCTTTGGGAGCAAACAATTCAAAGCCATTTCAGCTTGTTTCCTAGGAGAGGACTTGAGGCAATCAAGATATCCGTGACGCCATTTTGTCCCAGGAATATATAGATTAATAATCGATAAATACTAGGGATGAGCTTATCAGATTGCTGCCGGCTTGCCATCTTTCCTAGGATCACTGACAGCAGTTAGTATTCCTCGAAATACCTCATTTTTACTAATTTTTCTCCCTAAGTCCACCGAATTTGCAAGATTTTGAACAATAAGCTGGCAGATTGCTCCCCCAGCTTTACTCTGCAGTTGATGACCTCTCTCTTTCAAGAATTGCTTATATTCCTCAGAAAGTTCAATGTGTTCTCCATCAATGACTGTCCAGTTCTCATATGAGACAACATTTGGAATAAGCTGCACGTAACTAGAATAATGTCAGGACTATATGATTTGTAATTGCTTATGAACATAATTCAATGTATCAAAACTCGAGGGACCTTGTGGTAGACTCGCGCACTCTTAACAGCTGCTAAAGGTTCCATTCCCAATATAAAATGGTTAATGAAAACTTGAACCACTGCCGGAATAATATTTAAGCCACCACTGCCCCCAATCACCCCAGCCAATTGGTTATCCTGTGAATGGTGCACAAGATAGTATGCAGTTCAGAGAATTGAAGACACCGAAAAATGAACTTAATTGTAGAAAGATCTATAAGCACTAGTACTTATGTATAAAACCATACCTTGAGGATGATGATGGGGGTCATGGACGATAATGGTCGCTTGTTTGGTCTAATAAAGTTGGTTGGAGCAGGAGGGAGTTTGTCAGGGGATATTTCAGTTGGCGTCGAGAAATCATCCATTTCATTGTTGAGCACAATGCCAGTGGAAGGGGAGAGAACGCCACCTCCAAAGGCATAATTCACTGTGGTTGTCATGGATACAGCATTTCGGTCTGAATCTACAATGCCAAAGTGGCTTGTACCATGATCTCTAAGCTGATTCCACCTGGACCAACCAAATGCTTTAGTGTAAAAGACCTAAGTTCAAAACTAGATTCAAATAAATAATGACGTCTTCTCTCCTGATTCAACACGATATCGAAGCAGAGTAAAAGACCTAAGTTCAAAATTCTTGCCACAACCCATTTATAAAACTTATCCATGCACCATGTCTTTGATAAAGTGCACGTGAAGGGACGTACAAAGACTAAAAATACAAATAAATAAATATATGTGTCATGTTTCTGGCATCTTCAGCTTTTACATGAGGTGGTTCAAAAGTACTTAAGCTGAGAAACAATCAGACTTGGAAGGTCTACCTGTACATATAATATTCGGGAGGGAAAGTGGTGTTGTCCAATATCTTTTCTTGAATGCTCTTAGCAAAATCTTGGGAAACCATGTCGGACACCACTCCATTAACATTTTCAAAATGGGGGTCTCCCAGGTACATTCGAACAGCAAACATGTGTTTTAGTGCTTCAATTAGACGATGCAGACCTAAAGGACCTTTCACAGCATCAGGACTTCTGTAACTTTCTAAAATGTTCAAAATCTGCATTTCGTCAACGATAAATGGTCAGTTGAGAAGATGCTGTATTGTTCAAGTATGCCAATGCATCACTCCATATGACGATAGGATATCATGAATTCAACTTCTAACGATCCAAGCACTAATTATTTCTGCTAGAATTTTCGCAATAAAAAAGAGCTTGACTAAAGAAAAGTTAGGGCAGGATCAACTACTATCTGGGAATTCAGCATTCAAGTCATTTGAAGTCTAGAACACGCACCAAAGAAAGCCCAACCGTTCCACTTGAAGGAGGCGGCATTCCTAGTATCTGGTATCCCATAACATTTACGGCAACTGCACCTGTAACATCCACTCTGTAATTTCTTAAATCCGCCATTGTCAAAATTCCACCTGCTTTTCTCACGTCTTCAACAAGTTTTTCACCAACTTTTCCATTATAGAATGCTTCAGGGCCTTGTTCAGCGACTGCCTCTAAGCTGTTCCCAAGTTCTACATTGTAGCATATATCGCCAGCTTTTAACAAGTTACCCTTCGGTGCATAGACTTGTCGTAAGCCTGGATCAGCCATTATCATCTCTGCCTTTCTAGCAATTGATGATCCTAAATACGGAGCAACCTCAAATCCTTGTTTAGCAAGATTAATCGCAGGTTCGACTAAAGTTTTCCAAGGCAACCGCCCATATTTCAACCAAGCCACATGAAGTCCAGCTATCTCACCAGGAACGCCCGTTGACAGTGCTCCCTCAGATTTGGCCTTTGCATTATTGGCATACATGTTCTGCAGGATGAAACAAACGACACATTAAAAGGATAAATTGAAACGCTCAGGCAATTTTACTACTCCAGTTTAAACTTCTATGATGAACTTGAATACAAAATGACTGATCTCTCATGTGTTATCTGTTGAACCTAGATCCCCATCTCCAAGAGCAAAAATAAACCAAAAGAAATAAAAATGAGCAAAGAACACATAAATTTATAGTTGTTTCACTATAAAGTGAGAGCTATATGCACTGGCTGCTGCGTTGATTATAATGAAGGGAGAGATATAATGTTTTCTACCTCCCACCTCTCTATCTTATCTTACAGTAAATGATATCTCCCGTATTCCTTTATAAAGAGTAGGAAACTAGGGTGTGATGTAATACATAAATGTGAATGACCACATACCCCCAATCACAAAAAGAGATTCGTACAACCGAACAATACAATTAGAATCCACATAGTCCAACATTATGACCTTTGTCATCTAAATCCAAGTTACACAGAGATTATGAACCTGTGAAGCAGCGGCCGGAGCAGTTTCTCTCATGTCAAACGCTTCGGCATCTGATGTTGATGAAGACAGAACAACCATGAAACCTCCACCTCCTATTCCACTCGACATCGGATTAACTACCCCGAGGCATAGTGCAGTTGCAACCGTGGCATCGACGGCATGTCCCCCCATTTTAAGAACAGATATGCCTATATCAGAGCATCGACCATCATCAGCAGCAACAACAGCATTCCGTGATTCAACAACGTAGCTATTGGTAAACCGGATTCTCTCATTATATTTGCCATCATTTCCCACTCCCAAAAATTTCAAGTCCCCTTGGAGTACAAGACCTACATCTAAATACAGACAAAAAGCACAGAACTGAGAAATTTAGTTCTTATACAGTATATTGATCACATTAGCAATTTATTAAAAGTCAAGATTTGGTAAATTTAATCATTATAGGCAAATATATGACCACACAAACAGAAGCCCTCATTTTTGTCCTAAATGAAGTGAAGTCTCCTTTGCTTGATCAAAAGTTCATAGGGGATTTCCTTCGTAGAATGATCACAACAATTCTATTCTCAAATTACTATAATCTGAAGAACCCATCAACCTATCTTTGGCAAAATTCCTTAAAACTCCTAACATATCAAGACAATTCACTGGAATGGGAAAGATGAAGCTAAGAAAATTCTTACATGCTATGACTATAATTCCAAGAAGAAACCAAAGGGCTCTGCTCCATCCTTTTCTCTTTGTGAAATCATCAGTACCCAAAAGTCGAAATTCTAAGTCTTGCTTGAGCTTCCCCATGCTAATTTCAGTCCCTCTTTGTGTACAGAGAGAGAGAGAGAGAGAGAGAGATATTTGGAAATTTCAATGTTGTATTTGGAGGCATTATTGTCTAGATACGTAGGTGGCTTTGGCGCCTTTTTTTCTACTTGTCCATAACAAGAGGTCGAATCATCTTTTATTTTTTATTAGCCCTTTTTGAACCTCATTTGGCAAATAAAAAAAAAGGAGTTTCGAAATAATAATTTTTGAAAAATGTGTGATTAAAATATAAAACTTTTGAGTTTACTTATAAAATTATTTTATGAAAGAATATATAATTGAAAATGAATTTTGAAAAAAAAAAAACCCAAATATGGACTTAATATCCACTTCCGAATATATTAATAGAACAATTTTATTATTATTATTTTTTTTTTTGGTATTTCGTGGGCCCTAACCCTATAAGTCATATCCAATGACAAAATACAAAGTCAAAATATTAACTTGAAATGAAATAATGCACACACCCAAAAAAGAATATCTAAGAACAACTAATTGGTGCACTTTTCTTTTCTTTTTTTTCTTTTAAATTTTGAGATTGTAGAATATTGATTTGGGAACAATCTAAATTTCCGTTATGTTTTTGACATCGTCTCCGCTCTTAAGTCATATTTTATCATGTTGTATACTAGAGAAGACCTCATTTTCAAGTCCCAAGAAACACTCTTCTAGTTTTCTTTTTTCAGAGTTATTAATACTTTTTCTGACTTTAAATTGTACGTTTATTAGACTTAAGAACGCTGTAAATGGATCTAAGAGTCCCCCAATTTTAGAGTCGAGATTGTTGTTTCGTTTGATTTAAATGACAATTAGTTTATGTTCGCTTAGAGGAAAAAATGTATTCATGGATTGCTTCGAAATTTATACTTAAAAAGATTTTGTTAATTAAACCAAGAATAAATAAGTTTGATATTATTGAAAAATGTAATAACTTCGCATATGTCAAAAATAATAAGGAAAATGTTTATTTTTTATATTATTCACTTTTTATTTATTCTCCATTAATTTAAATGTAAAATTCAATTTCTATACCGTCATTGGTTCATTTCTATAATAAATAAGGTAGAATTATAAATTGAAAAGCATTAAATAATACATTATTTTGTTTGTTTACCAATCAAGTATCATGCCAATGTCCTCGTTGGTGTAGTGTCATTAGCAAGGTTTTTAATAATTAATTTGATGACTCGTCATTTATACATTGTCAATATGTTTGGTATGTGTCAGGTCAATTATCAAAAGTATTTAACATATTCAGCAATGTCGTGTGGCCATTTTCAGCAAATATTAAGAAAAAAAAATGACCGTTAAAAGAATATTTGTGGGTTCCACTTGTGAGCGAGAGTCAAGAAAGACAGCTGACTTTGATTTGTAACGGCAAAAAAAATAAAAAAATTCATTTTTTAGTCGGAAAATAATTTGAAATTTCCAAAAGTGAAGCCTAATGAGTCCTACATATAGTGGTGGCAAATAGGTCGAGCGATTCGTTGGCTCGACCACTCGTTTCGTGGGCGGCTCGGGCTCGTCATTTCACGAGCTGAGCAGGTTGGCCAGCTAGGCGAGCCGAGGCTCGTGGGCTCGTCCAAGACAAAGGGTTAAATTTTTTTTTTTTTTTTTTAAAGGTCTATCTTAAAAAAAATAAAATAATAATAATAAAATTTGACGAGCTCACGAGCCGAAGCTCGGCTCGGCTTGCGGGTAACGAGCCGAGCTTGTGGGCACAAGGGCCGAGCAGACTCGGCTCAACCCCCATTGCCATCTCTACTTACATATGTTAGGAATTTTCTTAATTTATTTTGAAAATAAATGAAAGCACGAATTGTGAACGAAAAAAGTAAGGGATACAATCGACCTAAACATTAAAAACTCTATTCAACATAACGACAACTGCGAGTATGTGTCACTTGATTTCTATTACGAGGACATGGTCCATAATTAACCGTACATAATTCAAGAATGTTTGAACTTTAAAATTTTAGCAAAGAGACATACCTCCATCGTCCATCAAATTCAGAGGGAGAGAGTGTAATTTGTAAATCAGATAGGCCTAAGTTTGTAAAGTGAAAGACATAATTAGTTCTCCTCTATTATAAATATAAATTTCATTTATTCACAAACATCCACAAACAGGCCAATATTAAAGAATCCGTTCAACGTTGTATTTTGTTTTAATTGCAATAAAAATTCATTAAAATTTCCCATGTATTCTTTCTTACTCACATATTATGTCTAGTCCAACGTAACATCCTCAAATATATGATAAATTATACGACATACTACTTGCATAGAAGTTATACAAAAAGGGTCGCAACGTGCTTCAAACAAGTTTTGTTTAATTAATTATTTTATTTACAAGTTTAAATTTCTAAACCTAAAATAATTTTATTTATTTTAATCTCTTCACTCAACATGTAAATTCATAAATTAATTTTTTTTAATCAAAAACCTGATACGCGAACGATCATCTAGGCAGTTAGATGCAAGACAAAATAAGTTATTAAGGGTGTGTTTGAATCACATTATTTTGGAAGAATGTATTTTGAAATAGTAAATTGATGGAAAAAGTATGGTTGAAAAAGAAGGAAAAGTTATTGATATGATGAAATATATTATTTCATTGAAAAATGTATAGTTGAAAATGAGTAGAAGAATGAGAATAAAAATTTTAATGTGACTTAAACAGGGACTAAATGTGGTATCAAGTGCAAGGGCGGAGCCAGAGAATTTGTCCAGTGCGGGCACAATTTTAGGTATCAGTTGCGGAGATTTTTTTGTCAAAATTAGTCTATGAATGAAATGAACTTCACGTATTCGATGCAGAGTTCTGAACAGAAATAGTTCATGTTTTCTGTATTCCATACTTGTTTCAAGGCAAAGGCCCTAGTCTCGTTTACCCGATTAGACGAGTAATTCCCGTCACATCTCCGCAGGTATCAAATTTAACAAGTGTTTTTTGTCAATCCATCCCCTCAAGTCTCTCTCTTGCTACAATTGGCTGCCCAACTCATAAAATAAATTGATTTAAGATAATTAAAACAATTAATAGTTGATTATTCTAATTTTTTTTGTTAGGAGTGATGAATTATTATCATAAAAATTATCACTAATTTATCAGTATCGACTTATCACTTATTAATTTAATACCTTAATAATAGGAAAGTCATCACTCTTTCTAATAATTTCACTCTTTTTTTTGCAGCACGCTTTCCCAGCTCACACTTTTTTTGCTTCCTTCTCATTCTTCTTCTTCTCTTATTGGTCTATTTCCTGCAGGGACACTTTTTCTTCTTCTCTTCTTGGTCCAGGGAGTTTCTTGCAGGCACACTTTCTCTTCTCCTTTCTTCCCTCTTCTTGGTCCAACATACACACTTTTTCTCCCTTCTTTCTTCCCTTTTCTCCTCCTCCTCTTGGTTCAGTGCCGGCACACAGGAGCTTCCTGTGCTATGCCCAAAGTCCAGTGCGGGCATTGGCCTGCACTGGACTCTATATAGCTCCGCCCCTGATCAAGTGTGACCTATTTCCAATATTTTACATACTGTAATATGATGTCGAAAATAATCG